GTTACAGCAGGAAGGAGTGAGAAGAACGAGTCTCATTCCGTTGATGGAAATGCCTGTGCCTTGTGGAGATTTTCCATGGGATCTTAGCCTTTGTCTTAAGAACTCATATTCCATATGAGAAAATGTTTCATAGGAGTCTTTTTTAGTGCTACCTCCCAAAATTTCCATCTTCCCTGATTCTTCTGAATTTTCACATCTCACCCTGCTAACAATTTATTTTTATGTATGTGTATCTGTAGTAGCATCCATGATCACACGGATTCACACTGCTTTATGAAGATCCTTCAAGGAAATCTGAAAGAGACGCTATTTGAATGGCCGGGCAAAAAGGAAGTTGGCGAGATGGTGAAGAAATCAGAGAGAGTTTTGAGGGAAAACCAGTGTGCCTACATAGCTGGTAAACCTTTTATTTTGGTACAAGGGGTGTGCAAAAAAAATTGTTTGGGGGGGTTATGGTATATTGGACTAAAAAAAATGGTATTCCCAATATTCCTGAATTCCAAATACCAGTATAGTATTTGGATTGGTGTGTTCCCCCGGATTTCTGAATTTTTCGGGTCTATTATTCCCTATGGGGAATGGCTGGGGGTGTTGCTTTTAAATGTACAGTTGTCTTTAAAGGTTTCTGGGTGGCTGGGGGAGTTGTTTTTAGAGGTACAGGCACCAAAATTGTAGCAGAGCTGCTGGTGTCCATCCTTTAAATAACCCCCAAGTTTCAAGACAATTGGACCGAGGGGTCCAATTTTATGGATCTTAAACAGGGTGCCCCCAGCTGTTCTTCATTATATTCTGGGGGTGGGGGTTTGAGAGGGAAAAAAACCTTGCAAGCTGATTCCAGGGCAAAAAGCCATGCCTGCAAATAGCAATCACTGAAAACAAACAGGAAGTCCAATAGAACCACTACGGAGTTTAGTAATCCCAGCAGAACCACAAGTGAACCAATGTTCCCTTTAAGCTCCACAGTGCTGTGAGCCGAAATTCTACCTTGTGAGTGAAAAAGCTAGTAGCATTAAAGTTGTGAGTGAGTCTACATTTGACTATTGCATAAATTAGTTTTTAGATGATTAGTTCCATAACCTTGTGAAAATCTCAGAATAAATTATTTTAAATTATATTTAAACTATATTTTAAGAATAATTTAAACATTATAAGAGAAAACAGAATCAAGTCAAATTTCACCCACCCCTTTCCACTATATTGGAAGACCTGTGCTCCGGAGAACAGGTCTACCTGCCCCAGAGTTCAGCATCTTAACCTCTGAGCCTCTGTGGCCCTTGAAAAGCATAATAGGGCCATGTCCCGCCAGCGGGCCTCCTGCCACCACCACCCCGGCGCCACCAGCCACTCCAACAGCACCCAGTGAGCCCCCCACGGCCCTTCTGTGGCCGCCCATCACACCATCGCCATCCAACAGCCCCTCACGGGCCAACACTGTAGAAACAGTTTCTAGAAAAGCCTTTCCATGGGTGAATGAAGTTGAATTCAACTTCATTCTCCCATGGAAAGGCTTTTCTAGAAACTGTTTCTACAATGTATTAGACAATCCTGAGAGATCCATGAAATTGTTGATGATGAATCAGTTGAAATGAAATAGAGAGACACTGCATGTATACATCTTTGTTCAGAAGAAGACTTGTGTCGAAATGGCAGAACATTCCGGAGATCACTGTCTTCACTTGCATTTGATATGTTATGCAAATATTGTACACTCTTTTGTATGAAATCTTTTTGATTAATATTTCAAATTTATTAGCGCAAACTCCTGCACAGTTTTTTTGTTACTACTTCGGTCTGTTCAGGGACTGTGGCCATCAGTTTTAGACCCTTTATACAACACTAACACAATCATAAGCCTGATATTAGTCAGAGTGAATATAGACCAGTTTTCATGTCCATATCTGATGCAGTAAAATTGCCAGAATATCACATGGTAAACATCTTTTCTGTTTGAAGTCCTACATAAACCCTTGAGGTTAATTATGTCCTGGAGAATTTAACTTTTGATGGATGTTATACTGTTCGAAGTATATTGAAGTTAATGGGTTTAGAAGGGTGTAACTCTGTGTAGGATTGCACTGTGTCATCACATTATGTTGTGTTCAAAAGAACTGTTCATAATGATAGATAAATGTTACATCATGGGAATGTTATCCCCCCCCCCCCTCAAAGGGACATTAAAACCAGGCAACAGTTTCTTGCTATATTTTCATTATACTACACAACATAGCAATGGCTCTAAGGGAAGAATCACCCCTGCTTGCATGGAACTAGTTAACAGGAAAGTATGGTGGTTTTCTGTGAGACCATCAAAGTTACATTCACTGAATCCAATCAGCAATATAATATCACAATGAATTTTTTAAAAATCTTAATATTTCATATTATGGAAGTTGCTGTAGCATAGTGGCGAAAATACTGAGCTATCAGTCAGGATGGTTCTGGTTCAAGTCTTACTTCTGTTACAGTCTCAATACGTGTCCTTAGGCAAGCCTCAGCGGCTCCTCTGGATGATGACAATGACCTACCTCATGGAGTTATTTAAGGATTGCAGCATGATAATCCATGTGAAGTGCTTTGAACACTCTAAAACGGTAGATAAATGTTTAGTATTGTTGTTATAACATCTGTTTTTACCTTCAGCTGAATGCTTCTTTGACAGCTTGCAAGTAGCTAAAACCAGGATTTAATACCTGCTTGTTATTTTAATTGATATTTAGTGAATGCCACATCTTGGATACTAGTAATCGTGGCCAGTCTGTTATAGTTGGTACCACATGTTGCAAGGAATAATATTTTTGCTTCTTCAATGGATGAAATATTTAACTCATTTCTTCAAATTTGCTACCTAATCTGTGCATTTCTACCCTGTCCTGTATAGACTCCATTGGCCTGCATCGTGTGGAGAACCCAAGCCATACAGAAACCGCTGTTAGTCTTCATTTGTACAGTCCACCCTTTGAAACCTGCCATGCCTTTGATCAAAGAACTGGACACAAACAAAAAGTTAAAATGACATTTTATAGCCAGTTTGGAGAGAGGACCCCATATGTAAGTATGAAAAAAGATATCCTGCCTTTAACCTTTGTTTTATCTTTGCAGCCCTTCCAAGGAAGGAGGAATGGCTCTCAGCTCACACCCAAGATGAGCTCCTAGACAGAGATCTTGTGTGTACTCCAGGTTTTGCCAAAGAGGACAAGGCAAGGAAGCCAGCTCCTTGAAGATCAGCAGACCAGTTAGCTGGGCAAACTGGGGAGGAAGAGTTGCAGAATTTAGGACTACAGGATACTGTGGAATAAGTGCTTTTTGTGTTAGCCTACAGTATATGATGGGGAAAGATAGAGGGTACTATCCTCTTCCTTAACATGCTTTCCATGGACTGGGATTTTTAACCTGGGAGAATGGTTGTAGTAGTTAGTGTGTCAGACTAGGATTTGGGTGACTCAGTTTTGAGTTGCTGCTGTGCCATGAAAGAGTAGCTGGGTGACCTTGGGACAGTTGCGTGTGTACTCTCCCTCTCTAACCCATCTCACAGGATTGTTATGAGAACAAAATGGAGGAGGGGAGAACATTGTAAGTCACTTTGGGTCTCCATTGGGGCGAAAAGGGGGTTATAAATGAAGTAGACATAAATGTGGAGTCCTCTACAGAGGGCTACCCACATAGTTCATCTAATTTATTCAGTAGTATCCAGAGGTCATTTCGGGGGGGGAACGCGTTCCCCCGGGTGAGGTACGTGGGGGCGGGGCACATGACGAAGCCCCGCCCCCTGCTTCCGGCCGCCCCGCTTCCGGCCCTCATTCAGCCAGGAGGAGGCAGGAGAAGAGGGAGGGTAAGTTGCTTCCTCCCTGCCTCTCCCCACCCCTGCCTGCCTGGGGCCAGGAAGGGCCTTCGCGGGGCTTCCTTGCACTCCCACCAGCCTTGTAGGTCCTTACCGCCGGGCCCCTAATGGGGCTCGGCAGTGGAGCTGCAAGGCCGGTGGTGGCGGCCGGGACCGTTGGGGGCGGGGTGTGCGGCCTTATGACACATTTCCGGTGATGTCAGGGGGTGTGGCCTTATGACACACTTCCGGGGATGTCAGGGGGTGTGGCATATGCTAATGAGTTATGCTAATGAGTTCCCCTAGCTCTTTTTTTACGAAATGACCCCTGGTAGTATCATAAAATTAGAACACAAGATATATCTTGTGGATTTTTCAAATGCCTTATCAGGAAGGCATCCTAATAATAGCAGGGATTTTTGTAGCAGCCATTCTCCTCTTTTCTGGCCATCCATTCTCCTGCAATGAATTTTAGTAACTACAGCTGCAAAGGCAAGATGGCTTCAGCTGTTGAAAATTATTGCTGCAAAACTCTTCAGTTTAAAATAAGAGTGTTGGGGGTGGGGTGGGGTTTCCTCTGGAAGAAGCACCTCCTTGTGTGTATTTCCATGGATTCTTAAATGACATAGAAAAGGGAAGAGTAAAATGAAGCCATAGTGAATAAACAGAAACGAAACACTCAACAGGACATAATTTATGTCCGTGTTACACAAACCTCGTGTGACTTATTCTTTGTAAGCGTGTGAATCTGGCTTCCTGTTCTAAAAACTTGAGTAATGAGCAAAGGGGTCTTTTGGGGTTGGAGCGCACCGGAGCACCAATCCAGCAGTCCAGGAGCCCGCGCTAATGGCGGCAAGCCCCGCCCCTAGCTCACCACGTTTCAGCTCGGGGGAGGCCGGAGAGCCCCGGCACCGCATCACCTGGGTCCGCACAGGAGCGCTGTGGCTTGGTACAGCTGGAGAGCCCTGTCGCCACGTTCCCCGGCCCAACGCAGGAGCGCTGCGGCTCGGGGGATGGCAGGAGAGCCCCGCCTCCACGTCTCCCAGGCCGCGCAGGAGTGCTGCAGCTTGGGGATGGAAGAAGAGCCCTGCCTCCGCGTCTCCTGGGCCCGCACAGAAGTGCTGCGGCTCGGGGGAGGGCAGAAGAGACCCGTCGCCACGTCCCCCGGGCCACGCAGGAGCACTGCGGCTTGGGGGACGGCAGGAGAGCCCCGCCTTTGTGTCCCCCGGGCCGCACAGGAGCGCTGTGGCTCAGGGGACGGCAGGAGAGCCCCACCACCGGCTTCCCCGGCCCCCGCCGAAGTGGTAAGTAAGGGATCCGCGGGGGTGGGGGTGGCGGGGGCTTGATGGGGGTGGGGAGGAGGGCCTCCCTCCCTCCCTCTCTTTTGCCA